AAAAAAATTGTCTTTACCACGCGGATCCAATCTCTTTTCAAATAAAGAGATTGTCGCGGTGTTAGCAGCTACATTATCAAGCGTTAGTGCTACAACTCTATCAGCTAATAAATATTCTTGCAAAACTTCAAGAATTGTAAAATAAATAGTTTCAGCACTATGTTTTTCATATAATGGTTTAAAACCCATCAATTTTTGTTGTAAACCCCAATTATGATCTAAGAAATGTACTGTGACAGTTAAAAAGTCGGTTTTTTATCTACAAGCTCATATGTCTGATGTAAGTGCAATAGATATATTCCTAAAATTTTGAAATTCGTTTTTAAGTTTATTAATTATTTTGTTATAAAGTTTTAGTATATCTCTTCTACTTGTACTTCTACTAACAAGGGTATATGCTAGACAAAATGCAGTTTTAATCATGTGAATAAAATAAGGATTTTCAGATAAACAAATGGGGGAGTCCGTAGCAACTATGAATCTTGCTATTTCCTCTCGTGTAACATGTGCATTGTATTGTCATGTTGAGAGAGTTGAGGATTGTGGATTCAAATTAAGTTGAGTTTGAATTTGTCTACCTAATCCGCTTGAAGATGTATCCGACAACTCCATTATTTGGGAGTGCTTCTTCTCCACGTGTCGTCGCATCGTCGAAGTCCCCTTTTCAGCGCCAATAATAGTTCCACAGAAATTACATATCCCACACAATTATTCCCCCTCCCCATTTGTCTTTGGCCATTTTAATTTGGTGAAGTGTCGTCATACATCAGACACGACCCTCTTTGACGGTCGGGGGGGTTAGGCTATGCCCGTGGCCGTTGACTCGTAGCTCGCATATGTTTGGCTACACCTCGTCTCGACCGAATGTGATTGTGGAATTGCAGCTACTACCTCTAGAGGAAATTGTGAAAATGGATTGAACCCTTCAATTTCTTCGGTGGATGAAACGTAAAACTCATTTAGGGATGATCCTCCGAATGCATCATTTCGGGAATCCATTATGAATTTATGATAAAATAATAAATAATTAAAATGAAAAGAAATTAAATAATAATATGAATAAGAGATGATATTGAATAATAGAAAAAATTGAATAATATAAATAAATAAATAAATTATATGAATAAATTATAAATATAAATATAAATTGAATGAGAATTTGATTGGAGATTTGGAGTAGATAGATTGAGAGAATGAGAGATTGATTGGTGTGGAAAAAATGAAAGATTTTAGGGTTATTTATAGTGTAGTTGGGGGGGGGAATGAAAAAAAATATTGTTATAATAAAAATTATAACCGTTGACTGGCATGTGACCGAGGGAATGAAAAAAAATATTGTTATAATAAAAATTATAACCGTTGGCTGACATGTGACCGTTGGCAACAGCCAACGGTTATTAGAGAAAAGTTAATTTTTTTTTTATTTTTTTTTATAAATTTTGTAAATTTTTATTTTAACCCTTGTAATTTATGTTTATTTCCAAATTTATAGGGGGTTTTATGTAATTGTACAAGGGATTAAACCAAAAATGTGCAAAAAATTTGGGCCCAGGTCCGGGCCTTTGAGGAAGGACCGGGCCCTCCTCTTTAGGCCTGGTCCCGTTTTGGGACCAGGCCTCCTAAGACTGGTCCTCTCAAGGACCGGTCCTAGGACAGGGTTTGGTTTTTGGACCCAGTCCCAAATGCCGACCTCTAACTGAAATTATGAACTAAATCTCTTTTCTAGGGCTAAAGATGTAGCCCGATTTATGAATATGTATTAATTTTATTGTTGTTAGTTTTAATTGAACATTGTCTAAGTTTTATTATTGCGTGTAATGCTTTCAATTCTTATGGATCCGAGAGTTGAATGATATCATGGGTTGGATTGAGATCAAGAGATGAAACCTAATTAGTCTAAGGTAATAAAACCACAGATTGAGCGAATGCTAGAGATCGGTTACCGCGATTATGAGGTTCTGGTAAATTTCATAGAACTTAATGATCTTTTAACTTCTAAATCTAACTTAGAGATATTTCGGGTTGTTGCTTAAGAGTTAATTCACTAATTGTTCAAGAGAAAGTTAGTGAAATACTAGGGAATTTGGCCTTTAGAATAAGTTTAATTAGGTTAACAATAATTGTCAATGTATAGGATTAAATTGGTATGAAATTTGTGTCATAGGTTCAGTCATATTGATTTTCAACCAAAGTTTGATAATAATTATGCTGCTATTTACTTTTAATACTTATTTCTTAAGGATTTTGATTTATCAAATAGTAATAAGATATATTAGTTTGGTACTTGGTAAGTGATAGTTCTCTTGGGATTTGACACTCGTTACTTGAGTTTTATTACTTGCACGATTTCGTACACTTGCGAATAGCTTGTCAATGGATGAAAGCTCTCAACGAATTAGAATGAAAGAATATCTTCACCAAATCAAGGCAACTTGTAAAAACACTCATGACCTTGAGCTAAAAAGAGTATAATTAGGTAGTTCCACTCCTCCAAATAGGATCGATTTTACACACTTATTTCATAGCAAAAATAGCAAAGACATATTATTAGAAAGAGACTGACTTGTCATTCTCTTAGAACACTTCAAACACTTGTAATCACGAGTGATCGCTCTCTTTATAATCTTCATTATCGATCACAAAAGAAATCATAATATAATTATAATGGACATAAGACTTGCTTATATCATCTGAACCACTCTGAAAACCTATCCTATCAACTTTTAGGGCAAAAAAAATGTCCTTGGCTCAAATAGGCTCAAAGACGAAGACACCTTCAACAAAGCTGGAAGCTAAAGCCCAATTCCGATTGAGCCCACAACAGAGTTCTGCAGATGAGGCCTATTCGATACGCCTGCCCAGTTGCCCACCATCTAGACCCAATAATCAGAGGCCCAATTCATTTAGGCCTCATTGCCAGCTTATCAGGGCCTAGGCCCTCTGATCATAGAACATCTGCTAGACTTAAAATCTACTTGGAGCCTAGGGTCGCCTACTTACTCCGGTACTATCTGAACTCTACTAAAGAGGTCAATCACTACCCTAATTCATCTTAAGATCCGTATCCTAGGCACGTTGGGACTCCTTTTCCTACTGAGGTAAAGGAGTCAAAGGCTCCACTCTTTCACAAAACCACAACTGCGAGGACTCCTAGTCCCACCAGGATTCGAAGACCCTGCAATCACTATTTAAACAGAGGTCAACCCTTTCACAAGGGACACATGACACCTACAGACCTCGGAGCTCTCACTCTTGAGGATTTCGCATTACAGCTGTAGTTACAGTCTCCGACTAGACTTTTGGTAACCTTTTCTCTCCCTAACCCTCACTAAATTATCTCACTCAGCCTTGCTTACTTGAGCGTTGGAGTGCCTATGACAAACGCCACCCCAGTGTTTTCGGTCCGCTTCACGCTTGTTTTCTTGCGTGTGCAGGTGCAGCAGATCACTAGTGGCCTCAACCTCACAGGATCAATCCATATTTTCATAAACGTAGATTTTTGCATCTACATCAACTTGTTATTTACATACTAACAAACAAGCATCATCACTGTACCTTAAACACGTCTCACAATCACTTCAGGTGAAATTTCTTAGCACTTTATATGTGCGTAATCGTTAATGTCAAAATCATGCATCAACAGTTTTAATATTCAAATCTCAACTTAACAGTTTCACTTTATTATATCATATTGGTTTTAATTTTAGATGTTGAAAAAGTAATAATATATATAATCTTTTTTACTATCATTTCAACCAATTTGGAGATATAATATTATTGCATATTGTTTATTTTAAACTAGTATGACTATTGTAATTTTTTTTGTGTATGCTTATTTATTAAATATTTGTTTCTAGTTGATATTGAATCTTAAGCATTTCTAATATAATTTATGAATTTGTATGCAAATAACTTAGAAAAAGATAAGGTAGATAGAAAAGTTAGTTAAATTTCAAGAAAAAGATAAGGTAGGTAGAAAAGTTAGTTAAATTTCAAAATAGAATTTTCAAAAAGTTCTAGTTTACTACAAAAATTAAGTAATAATATTGTTTTGTATTCGGAAACTCTTTAGAAACCAAAAGTGGTACCATTTAACACATTGATGGTGCTGGTGCTAGCAGTAAACCATTTCTGGTCGCCATTTGCTCGGGGAAGGTTTCATCGGAGAAGCCTCATGTTTAAATGGTTTTGTTAAGAAAGGTAAAAAGGATGATATGGCCTTTTACTCTTTAATTTTTCGTAAAAAACTGAAAAAAAAAAAAAAAAAAAAAAAGAATAGTACTATACTTACTTACAAACTTTTTATACAAATGAATGTGACAAAATATGATTAAATGATTTTAAACTAAAAATAAATTTTCATACAATTATTTTTTGTCACAACTGTTTTAATAAACAATTTATAAGTATAAATATTTAATATAAATTTGTAAGCTTAATATTTGTACTCACGTGACCAAACCAGGTCGAGAGAGCACAGTTTTTTTTCTTCGAACTCATATAGTTCTATTTGCTTCATTTCATTAGGAGTAAAAGGGATTTTTAGTAATTATAACAGCATTTTCGTATCCATTTCTGCTGTCAATCCTCGCCCAAAAAATATATTTTGATTACCAATTTATATAAGTTAATATGATTTTATTACCAATAAATAATTTCTTTTACTGAAATGCTTCTCCCAAAACTATAGGCCATCAACCACATTTTTATTCATTAACTCCTTTCTTACTTCCAATCGTCCATGACTAATGATCATCGGGCATAAATCATCGATGGATCATCGATGGCCATAAACCTGCCATCACTGTCCATAAATCATTTCTTCATCAATCATCACTCAATATTAATTCTTATTCAGCCGTTCAATTCCACATTCACTTTCCTTTTCGTCTTTCCCAAGGGATTGAATTTTGCTTAGATGATTTTAGACAAACCCTACTCAATTAAATAAGTGGTTTCTCAAGGATTAAACATGAAAGTGGTGTTTCAAGGATTAAAAGTAATGTCTGTGGTGTTTCCACGATTAAATGGCATTGTAGAACCAACAATCAGGATCGCCACATGAAATAAATATCGCGCCCGAGCCATTATACCGAGAGGAACCAATTATCCCCCAGAATTGGTAATGGACGCTTTGACCATAACCTACTAATTCATCAAACAAGTGGGATTATTAGTGCTCAGTGGAAGGAGAAGTCGTTTAATAAGTAGGTTCACGGCGAGGATTTTCAGGTCCCCTCCACTACCCTTAACACACATTCAGTGCTTTCATCTCATCATAGCATCAAAATCCCTTTCAGCTTTTAAAAAAAAAATAAAAAATAAAAACATTCTTAAGAAAACAAAGAGAGGCTTCAGTGTGTGTAACAATCAGATCATTGACAAAATTGCCTCACTGAAATCCGCTAAGATATATTTAATTTATCATCATAAGCCCCCTATTCTATTCTCTAAAAATCACAAGGTGAACTGGGTGATCTGGAAATAGCCTTCTCTCTTCCACCTCCAATATCAAGGATGAAGAGAAAAGGGCTTTCCCCAAATTATCCGATAGTTACCTTTAACTGAAATAACCTAGAAATTAAATAAAAGAAGTAAGGTGCTCAGACAGCCAAGGGTTAGTCTTCAACTTCTGGGAAAACCCAGATCAGAAACTCTAGTCCACAAATATTGTATCATCACAGCACTCTTCCAATCTCATACAAATTCAAAACAACCTCAAAGACAAAACCTCCTAAAAACTAAGAACATATGATCAAATAAAAATAAAATACATACGAAACTGCGAGTTGATGAGATGAAGAGGCAGCCAAATCAGAGCGATAATGAAAAAGGTCGTTACGTTGTGCCGTATATATAGGCAAGTGTGTTGGTGGGATGAGAATTAGGGTTTCAAAGAGTGCGTTTGTTGAGTTAGGGTTTTGTTGGCGGCTGGGCCTTTAAAATTTGGGTTTGGAAAAAAAGTTAGCGACCAATATGGTAACTTACAGCCCAATCTAAAGTGTTGGGTTGCATTTCTTTTTCGTATTATCTGTTTTCAAATTTCATGGAAGGCCATTTTCTATAGACTAGTTCAAACCATCCAGACGTTTAATTTTTATTATAGAAAAATAATTAAAATTTAATTTCTAAAAAATTACTTTTTACTACACATTTAAGTGAGAGAATAAGTATGATGATGAAAAAAATATGATTATCAATAAGCATACTTAAATTTTGTACATGAATCCTTTACAATCCTGTAGGAAATTTATTCTATCAGAATTAGAAATCATATATATTTGAGTTGTCATCACCTGGACCTCCAATAATGAATTCCATTTTATATTAAGAGGTGTTTGGATCATATAATATTTTATTATAAGAGTATATTATATTTACGAAAAGAATAATCACTTTGAAAATTACTTAGAATATTTAGAAAATGTGTTTGATTGTTTCGAATAAATTGGTGAATAATATATTTAATTGGAAAGATAAATGGGTGAGTATGTTATATAGATTACTAAATTGCCCCTCTTTTTAAATATTAGTATAATAGTATTTTTTATTATTATTTTTTGAATTATTTCTATTAACCCCCTATATTTGAAATTTTGTTAAAATACCCCAACCATATAAAATTTTAATTTGTAACAAAATGACCCCCACCTACCCCAAACCACTGCTGACAGCCAGCCACCACCGCCAATAGTCGACAGAATGGTGCATGATTGGCCATATGTGGCCGACAGTGCTCTGGTAAAGCTGAAAATGATCATGGATCACAAATCTATAGCCGGAAAACAACCAAATCTATGGCCGTTTCCAAAGATCCATGGCCGAAAAATGCCTTACCGAAGCACGACTAACCAGATCCCTCCGATTGTATACAATTACGGCAACTGACGTCGACGGCCGGCGGTGGTGAATCATGACAGATGGTGATCTTGGGTGACTGAGGATATTTTGTTAACTTTTAAATTTTTTTGTGGTTGAAGTGTTTTAGCTAATTTCTCAAATGTAAGGGGGCTACGAATTATTATTTGGTAGACATTTAAGGGCAATTATGTTTGAAATGATTTTTTAATTAAGAACAAAATAGGTAGAAAAATCAGATTATCTCGATAATGTTTTAATAATATCTCATAATAAAATAATAAAATTATCTCTTATATTACCATTAATAAATATTATTTATAATAAAAGATTTCTGTTATATTTTATTACTGGTAAATAAAACATAAAAATCTTATAAAATAAACAAAAATTAACCTATCATCTTTTATAGCACTTATCCAAACGGCTGAGAAATTATTTGAGATGTGGACAAATGAAGAGAGAGAGAGAGAGAGAGAGAGAGTGATAGATCAATTGTCAAATTCGTGGTCCACACGCATAAATTTAATAGTCTGGTAACTATGCAATTTACGAAAACTGTGACTCTACACCTTTTAAAACAGTCCAGGTTCTTTTAACGTTACCGTTGTTTCATATATATTTGCCACAGAAATAATTGTTTTTGTTGCCCTTCAATTATGGGTGGGTGTCGTGCTTTCTTTAGACAACATTCCAGGTTCCAGCTATGCTTGAAAAGACATAAAATGCATTTGGAATTGCTTTTGAAGTTTTCAAAAGTGTTTTCAGAAGATGGAAAATCATATTGGGCTAGACTGCTGTTATAAATATACCTTTTCTTAGGTTTTCTCTTTTATGTTATACTTCTTATAGAAGCATTTCCAAACCCATCAGGTCGTTGGATCATAGAACAGCCGGGAAAAAAGTGATTTAAAAAAAAAAAGAAAAAAAAACATTAATTAAGTTGGGAAATTTATTATTTTTGCATGAGAATGACTGCAATCTTATACATGATTGCTGTGTTATTACATGAACACAATCTTCTGAAGGTACCAAGGAAGATATTACACAACGGCTAAATTATTCACACAACATAAAATACATAGCCCAAGTCTCACCAAGATTTATACATTAACAAAACTTCCAAATCAGAAATCAAAATTTGAAAAAATGAGGGGCAATGCGAAAGTTTAGTCTGTCTAGCTCTAGGTGTTAACCAAAGCACATTGCTTCCTGATCTGGCCAGTTGTTCCAGTCTTAACATTGACGCGTCCCATTTTCTCCATAGAGGTGGCGAATTCAGAGAAGAAATTTTGCAATGATCCACTGAGTAGTTGGTTAATTAAAGCCAATGAATTAGAGTTAGTAGTCAAAGCAGCATCAGATTGGAAGAGACCCCTTCTCTTAAGTAAAAGTGTGTAGTAACTAAGGTCAAAAGTCTTGCGACTCCCGGGGTCCATCTCAACTTTTGTGGTAGTATCATTGCGAACTCTGCACTTATTTGCCCTCAGAGTTGCTGCATATTCACTATCAAGCGCAGGGTCTTCATCACCTACTCCAGTGAAATTGTACAGACGGTTTTCAAATGATGTGCAGTGAGAAATACCGATTGTGTGCGCACCTGAAACAATTCCGTAACACTTATGTTAGAGAATAGTTGCATAGTCGTTTGTTCTTGCAGTAAGTTTGGACAAGTTTCCATGTAATTATAACAGTGTGTCCCATAAGCTGATGGAAATGGTGATACATGTTGGGCTTACCAGATAGCAGAACCAAGTCTTTTAGATCAAGTCCTTGATTATTAAAGAGTCCGCGTATAGTGGTGAAGTTGTGAAATGGAGATGGTATGTTGTTTGCAGCTTCTGTGGCATTGGAGATCGTCCCGTCTCTGCGTCCAGTTGGAACATTCCAGAAAGGACCTCCCTGTTCAGTGAATAGTAAGACAGAAATGAAAACTGGAGAATATGAAAATGTAACTAGTAGGTTTAAAGTAATTTGAACGGAGTTCTTACTGTTGTCACAATTGAGTCCCTTGCAACTAGAGAAATAATATCTGCACAGGAAACTACACCAGGGCATTCATCTTCCAGAAGGCTCTTCACTCTGTCAATGAAATCGAAGCCTCTGAGTGTTTGATTTGGAACTGCATCCCTCTCAGCATCTGCGTTGCCTGTAGTTGAGTTTAGAAGCACAGATGCATCACAACCCTGTAAATTAACAAAATGTTAATGTCTAATATTATTCAGACTGTACTGAGAGGAGAAGACAACCAAGTCACTCAGGTGTTAATCAATAAAAAAACTAGTATAGCATGAGGGAATTGAAGATAGATTTGCAAATTAACAGGAAAAACAAAGAGGGAATAAAAACACAAACCCTGACAAAGCAGTCATGGAAATGCATTCTAATGAAAGTTGCTGCTAGTGATGGAGCATTGGGGATGTGCTCTTTAACATAGTTGAGCACAATCTGTTCAGCTTTTGGGCAGCTCTTGGCATAAAATCCCAACTGCAGTTGAGCCTGACTTCCCACCATAAGTCCGAAAAGACTCAAGACCACAATACCAAATTGATTCATCCCTCCCATTGTTTCTTTCTTGATATGGAAGAAACTTCACTGGTAATAAGGAGCTGCTTTGATGTCTTGTTGCAGACACAAGCCAAATGATTTATAGACCTTAATTATAGCAACATGATAAGAAGGTAAACCATAAAAAAAGGTCCACCTAGCTGACTACCATGTGCTTTCGTTTGGAATCTTTGATATATTTTAATGTAAAGTAGTTCATTTAAAATACGATTAGTTAAGTCTTGTCCCTTGTAGGATGGGTGATATAAGATTCATATACAGAGCATCGACCAATGGAAGTAATTTAACCTTTGATAAATATTGTTTTTTACATTGTAAATGGAATCCTTTCTGTTTATTAAGTATAAACGGTAACTATTGTTGAAAATAATTAGAGATGTAATTGTCCCACCGCCACCGGGACGTGGCGGCTTAAATTATTAATGGATTTGGTAATGTCTCTTACGATTGCAAACTAAAATTATACAACAAAGATACAACAATGTGGTGGAATAATATCAACGGGTTCACCTGCTCCCGGATGGCTATGGTGTCATACGCTGAACTGTTCATTTTTCATATCAATAATTTGCTACCTGCTGCAAACATTGCAGCCGACACATTTAAAAGAGATGAGAAACAAATTAAGAATTTGACATATTTATGTACAGTTTGTAATGAGCTGTATAGATCTTATAAAATGACCTTATAACTACACATGGACTGATGCTCATATACAATAAGACGAGAGATCGACCAAATAAAAAAAATAAAAAAAAATTGAGAGTATCAAATCTATAAACTACAGAACATGAGTTACAAGATATCTGTTTTATTGTCTTTAAAAATAATTTAAGAATCTTTCATGGGGATATACTTTGTTTCAGTATGCGAAAAAACCGATCTCCAAGAGATGAAGAAAATAATATGCCTTGGTAAAAGCTACTCTCATTGCTTTCTTTTTGCATAGTAATAGATTATTTAGCTTTAGACAAGCATAATTTTTTTCTTTTAATATATATTCTTTTGACGTAAAAGAAAAATATAATCAATCCTGTGGCTGCAGTTCTTTAGGATTTATGTACTGTAATGTCTTATTGACATCACTGGCTAGCCTTTCTCGAGATGGCCGGCCAAGGGCGAACAGAGGTGAAACTAGAGACTTGCAATATACTATCTTACAAATTCTTTTTTTTTTTTTTTTGTTCATAAATTAATCTGCCTTAATTCCATTGGAGAAAACAGAAAAAGGGAGGAATATAAGAGTAGGTAGCTTAGTCTTTTAAATGAAAGGAATTTAGTAGTTCTTTTCTTGCACTTGAATCTGCCATCACTAGTACTGGTAACTGTGTTAATTAGTTACTATATTTCTTAACCTTTTTCTGTAGAACCATTTACATATTGGTAGCTACTTGTCAACAGAAGTGTTAAGTTAGATTTGGCATCATAATAAACCTGTTTTTACCGTGAATTAGTTTTTAGTTAGTAAATGTAAAAGCAAGTTAATTACTTGATAACACCTCTCTGGTAGGGAAGGCTAAGAATATCGCTGCATATATATGTAAGTAACTACATGGAAATGAATCGCTAAAGTTTTAAAAAAGTATCAAAAGTTTAAAGAAAAGAAAATCCTGAAAGAAAAGTCATAAGACATCTACACATAAGAAATATTGAAAGCAAACCACTTATGTAAAAGAGTAAGGAAGTATTTAATATAATCTTTTAAATTTGAATCCTTTGATAATAAAAGAATAACAGATTTAATATAGTATTTCGAGTTCCAGTCTTAAAAAGAATTATTATTAAAATTCTTATCTAACTTATAATTTTAAAATATTGAAAAATTAGTTAAAGTGTGTACAAATAAATATAATCACTCTTAGTCATATATATATATATATATATATATAAAGTTAAGTACCTTGTCATTGTTTTGTGTGATTATATTTAATTAAATTAACCTCGTTAAAGTACGTGTTGATATCGTGCTTACGGTGCTTTAGAGTTTAGAAGGGGCATTACTTTTATGAGAAATTACGTTTCAATAGAAGGCAAAGGAAGCTCCTTTTGTGACAGATCTAACTGTTGCCGGTCAAAGCATAAGTTTAAAATATGATTAAGTTTCTGTATATGTCAATGTGCATTAATTTCTCTACATGTGCGTGCATATAAGAAACAAGAAAGATTTAATTAATTGTGCACATCAATTATATGTTAGCATCATGACAAATTAATGTTAATGTGAATGTTTTTAACTATTAGTTAAAAGCAAGTTTCTACATGAATAATGAGATTTCCAGATTATTTTATAAAGTTTGAAAGATAAGGACAGGGGACCTGAACTTTTATCCCCACAATATCGTATAAAGATTAAAGGTATCTTATAATAGAAACTTTTACCGATAACGAGACATTTGAAGACATCGAAATTCAGGAAAGGAAAAGTCATATTACAGCTGCTTCAAATAAAAAGCTAGTATATTAAATGATTATATTCTGTCGTTTATATATATAATTACGGCTGACATGATATAGAAGGTAGAAGCCCCGTGATTATAGCACTTTAGTAAGAAGAGTTTTCTTTATAAATTGGTTCTTTGTTTCAGTCACAGAGCAGAAGGAGATTCCTTTACTTGGGTTAGATCTGAATTGCATTCATGCACATGGCATTTTTCGATTAAGATAAAAATTTCATTTGAATCTTAATTTGTCTCTGCATCCATGAACATGCCTGCATATAAACAAGTACCGACTAATTAACTTCATGCATAGGATTGGTAAACGACCTCTTACAAGGTCGATAGCTGTGATATAGAGTCCTAAAATTTTACCTTAAAATTGATGTATGAACAGGTTAGAGCATCTCTATTGGTATTATTTATTTTAAAGAGCATATTTCATATAAATAATAAGCATTTTCATTAATTTCTAAATATAAAAAATAAAATTTATATTCAAATCCAATGGACTCTTTAAATTAGACTTAATAAATACAAGAGAGACTTAATAGGAGAGAAAATTAATAATAAAATACAAAGAAACTTGTAATTTATTAAAAGCATCTTCAATTGTACTCTTTATTTTAAAGAGCATCTTTCATATAAATAAATAGTATCTTCATTGATTTCTATATATAAAGAACAAATTTTTTATTCAAATCTAATAGACTCTTTAAATTTTAGGAGAGATAATATGTTTTTTCAAGAAAGAAACTTAATAGGAGAGATAAATCATAAATAAATTGCATAGAAACTAACAATTTATTATTTAAAATTAAGATAAAGAGTAAAATTTGACTCTATAAGAGCATCTCCAAATGACTATTTATATGACCCAAACTATTTATTATAAAAAGTCTATCCATAAAAACAAGACTCCAACATGCTCTTTATCTTTAAAATATATATTAGAGAGTGAGTTTGACTCTCCACATTTAGAGAGTCAAATTTCACTCTCTATCATAATTTTAATTAATAAACTACAAGTTCCTATGCATTTTATTTATTAATTCTTTCTCCCATTAAGTCTCTTTCTTAAAAATAAAGAATATCCTCATTAAATTTAAAGAGTCTATTGGATTTGAATAAAAATTGTGTTTTTTATATTTAAAAATTAATGAAAATGCTCTTTATTAATATAAAAGATGGTCTTCAAAATAAAGAACACCATTAGAGATGCTCTAAATGTGAAGAGTAAAACTCACTCTTTAATTTATATTTAAAGAATAAAAAGTCTATTGAACTATTATTTTTATGAATAAATTTTTAATAATAAAGAGTTTGAATCATATAAAGAGTCATTTGGAGATGTTCTTAGAGGGATAAATAGTCCAAAAAAATGAATGATTATGAATATGATTGGAATGCCAATTCAATAATATTTTTGGGTTAGTAACAGCTACTAAATTGGTTTAAATTAATATTGAATAATACAATTCGGATGAGCGACATATACAGTCGGAATGCTGTAATAATTTATTAGGACGGAATATTAATGACTTAAGGGCACAAGAAGATTAATTAGCTAGTATCTCAAGAGTAGGACAAAAGAATTTAGATGGAATAAATCAGAGTTCAAATTGACCAATCCTTCCTAGGCAGCTGTCACATTTCTTTCTCAATTTTTTTTTCTTTGTTCTGGAAGAATTGATTTTTGGCGTTTTGTGTACAGTAATAGTACTGTATACGTATTTTTGAGGCAATATTGGAAAGGAACATAATGATCTTATTGGTTGGATAAATATTAGAATCCGATAAAATACAAACTTATTTTAAGTTTCCACAATCCACTCACGTGACAACAAAATTTATGCAAAAACAAGTAGTGGCAAATTAATTGACAAATGCACAGTGCTTCCTGATTTCACCGGTTGTGCCTGTGAGGACGCCAATTTTTCCCATCTTGATCATGGATACAGCAAAATCTTTTGCAAAGTTAGATCCATGGGTAGCAGCCTGAAGTTTGACATAAGCTCTAGTCTCATTGTCATTAAGAAGAGCTGCATCAGATTCGAAGAGTCCTCTTCTTTTATTTACAAGAGTGTAGTAATCTTCGTCAAATGTTTTGAAGCTTCCAGGATCCATTTCGACAAGTGTTGTGGTGTCACCAGGCTTGCATTTTCTCTTCAAATGCACTATGTAATTAAGATCCAATGAAGGGTCTGTGTCACCTTTGCCAGTGAAATTGTACAAGCGATTGGAGAAGGAACTGCAGTGAGATGTACCAATAGTATGCCCTCCTGCAAATTAACAAATTAAAAAGATCTATAATGACTCATGTAAAAATGTCTTGACAGTTCTTTCAAAAATTTCTGAGATTAAAAATTTGAAATGTTACCTGATAAAACCACTAGGTCCTTTTCGTTTAAACCCTTTGCTGCAAACATTTGTTTTAGCAAGGTTATGTTGGCAAAAAACGGTGGTAAAGATGTTGTCTCTGAGCCATTTGAAATTCTTCCATCTCTTCGTCCAGTAGGAACGTCCCAAAATGGTCCATGTATCTGATAAAAAAAAAAATAATGATTGTTAATTTAATTAATAAGCCACTGTAGGACATGAAACTGGTTAATTAATTACCACTCCAACTGCATCTCGA